GAGACATATATATATATATATATATATATATATATATATAAAAATCCTTAGAGACTACAAATTGGTGATTCCTAACAGTAATAGTTACTAACCAAGTTAAACAAAGGAGGGGGGAAAAAAGGCACCGATCCAAACAAAGTATATGGAAAATACCGCACTAGAGGATGCCTAAAGACAAAGAAGTAAATCCTCCTCCCTCCCACACTGTGACTTACTTTAAGTCAATTTAACAACTTTGTCACTGTACGACTCTATTCATCCTGAAATTGGGTACACCAATTTTCCTTTATTATTGCGTTAGTTTATTGAGGTGTTCCCCCACCAACACATGGTTTATTTTGCATGCTACAATAAAAATATATATTTGAAGTTTTTCCAAGGCAATTACTGGAGTATTTAAGCCCCACACAATAGTTATAGAAATAAATGTTTCCTAAGTGGCAATATTCTCTCAACCTCCCTTGTTTCCAGAATGCGTCTTTCTCCCCACCCTCCCCATTGTATTTCCTCCCCTCTAATTTCCTCCCCTGAAGGTTATCCTGGGAAATGCCATTACTTTTCTGCAGCGGCTGCTCAAAGCAGGACACCATCTTCTAATCCTGTTTTGACACCCCGTTTTATCTTGCACAGAACAACTCCCACTGAGTTAGTTAGGTATACCTGTGTACAGGCTGTAGAACGGACCCTCAGATCTGCTGTTTACAGTGTTAGCAGAATAGTTTAAATACCTTCCATTCAGAGATCAGTTCTATGGCATATTATTTATCTCTGAAGAAAAAGCTCAATTTTTAGTACTAGCCTTGAGTTTGATATAATTTAAAAAACATTTTAATTGTATGTTCCTTATTTAGAAGGGAGAAGGGCATTTTCTTTTTAGTCTATATAATTTGGTTGCTGATGGCAAAGAAAATTTAATTCTTACAACCAACACTGATCGATAGCATTAGATACTGAAGCCTTTTCTTAGCCACACAAGACAGTACAGACTTTTCCCATATCCCATCTGCCAATTAGCTTAACCCCAAAAGTGGAGAATTCTCCAGAATATGGTCAAGAGACGAGATCATAGTTATTTAAAGACTTTTGAGTCTTCGGCATTCGTAAGGTTGTCAACAAATGTATAAAGCATTGCCAATTAGCAGAAGTCCAGTCAGAGAACAATATTTTATCATGGTCAGTTTGGCTCAGTTTGTAAATGCCAATTTAAAAGGCTTCACATTATGAAGGGAGGGGCAGAAAAGTTACAGGAGATAGTTCTTTCACCTACAGCTCTCTAAGGATCTTCACTCTTGTATGCAAGCCACTCATATCATCCTAGACTTCTTCTCAGAGACTATTACTGGTTTTCTTTTCTATTGCCATACTACCTTTTAATCAGAACGTATTGCTAGAACCAATTAAATGGTCATTCACTTAAACATGAAGTTTCAGTCACAAGAAAAGAAAGTGTTAATGTATTTCTTGACCATCACAAAGGAGACCAGTGGCTCAATTTTCCCGGTCTTCCTCCTCTTAAAGAGACAAAAGATAATCTAGATGGACTCATCTCTTTTCAATGATGGAGCCTGACAGTGAACTTTTCCAAAAATTAGAATTCCTTAACTGATGCAACCCGTAGTGTAGAAAACAGACTACGTGTACTGTGTTAAACTGTGTACTGAACCTGTGCAGATAACTATTGCCTACTTGAGGTTAGAAAAACAAACTCAGGATTAAGCAGATTGGACACGAGTGTTCAGATATGAAAGACTGATATATTAAACATTCTACTTACTCCAGCCCTCTACAGACTTTCAAGTGCTTGTACAAAGACAAATACAAGGTTACTAGACTTTTTACATTTATGAGGAATAATCCTGGTGTACTAACTCAGGAAAAGCTTACATTCATGTCAGTAGGAATTTTGCTCAAATAAAGACCTTTGAGTTGGGTCAAAATTTTCTCATAAGAAATCAACCTAAAATAAATGGCAAGACAGTGTATTCAGAAAAGTACAACGTTCTGATTTTAATGACTTTCAAAGAAATCTTATTTACACAGTGAACACAGCGCATTCACATATTCAATATCTTACAGCTCCCTGTAAAAAAACAAACCAAAAACCCACATTTTATTAAAACTGCAGAAGTTGAATTTAGTTTTACAGTTTAAGACACTGAACCATGACTATAACTGTAAAGCATTCAATGGGTCTCCAATTTCATGGTAAATTTACATGGTAGTTCCCTGTGAACAAATTGGTTTTGGAGGTGAGGGGGAAAGAAAAAAGGAGTAAGATTAAATAGCAGGAGGGTGAAAAAAGCTGATGCTTTGCAGAAACATCAAGTGTTTTCGTAAGCTGACTAGACCCTTGGCTAAGCATTTAATAATACGTTTTCCCACATATAGATATTAAAAATGATTCACATTGGGTAGAGGTCACATATACAGACTATCTAGATCAATACTAATGGAACCTTAATTTGCATCAGCTTAAATAAATTTAGAAATGGATCTGACACACAGAGTTTGGACTTGGATCCAAACTATTCCAAAATTTTAGAGGAGTTCAGTTCTCAGGTTCTAACGCAGGCCAATCTCTAATTAACATCTCCCTTAGTTGACAGCTCAGAAGTGATAATCTTTTACCTATGAAGTGAGGACAGCTTAAAAGAGATCTGAGTATTCTTATCCCTCTGTGTCAACCCCTGCTCTTCTGATTACCATCACTAAAGATATGTTTGAATACACAGATGGTTCTTAAGTCAAACTATTGAAGTGTTTTCCGGTCTTTTCAGAATGCAAATCAAAAATATTGTGCAATTTTATATCACAGCATACTTCAAAACTAAAATGGTATCCCTCCTGTTATCTGCCTGGCAGTCTGTTCATCTGTGCTCTCCTCCTTCTCTTTTTCACGATCTTTGTTCCAATCTTTAAGGCCTTCTGGGAGTGAAGTATCCTCATCTAGACTGCCTGTGCCTTCAACAAATTCTTCGTAAGTAGATTTTTCTGCAAATGGTCTTGGGCCAAGTAGTTCAACCATATCACTTTTATCTATTACCTCCTTCTCCAACAGTCGTAAAGCAACCTGAAAATAGCAACAAATTATATTACACAAACAGGTACAGGATGTATTTGCTTTCTCACATGAAAGAGGGAGAGCAAGCACTTAGAGAGGCAGTCTGTGCTTCAAAATTCTATGCTGGTAGATTTTAGGCGGAGAGCTGGGATTCTCAGCAAGGTTCACTTCATGCTGTAAGACCTTCAATGTGCATGAAAGTAGTTGAGAATTTTGCACCTTTAAAACCCTGTGAGTATCAGGTGCAGTGCCTTGAATACCACTGTTGCTCAACGATGGCTGCTTCAGAATAATGCTGCTGCTGCTGCTAGAGAGCTCTGGAGAATGTTACAGGGATTTAATAATGGATAAAAGGCCAGCTTCTTAGTTGCTCCTGTATCTTTGCTCACCAGATCATTAAAAGGCACAATGGGTCTGAGGTTGACTTATGTTCAGAGTATTCGCCAAGCTACAAAACAAAGCTATTACTGGCTAAGTTTCACTCTGCAGAATATAGCATGTACAGTACCAAGAGGAAAGTGGTATAAGACTGTAGGTTGCAAGCTTCTTGGGCAAGTGATGTCTTGTACAGCACTCCATACTTAAATAAAAAGCGTAAGCTATGACAAGGACAACACACATTTCTTTGGAATGTACTTAAAAGAATATTTCATCATAGAAAAATGAAACATTATGAAGTAGGAAGGGAGAGATTGAGAAGAGGGATTAAATATTAACATGGAAAACAAGAAAGCTTACAATGGTTTAATAAACAGGAAATAGAGAAGTGTGATTGACAGACACTTGGCGCCTGTATTCTCATTGTTCATTACACTTAAGATGAAGTTTTGCCAAACTTTATAACTGTCCCTTTTGATGATGAAACACTACTGCACAGTCTGTCTTTCTTGGGGTGGTAGTCAGCTATACCACTCTGACAGAAACCCATACAAGTTGTTGTATTCTTGCAGATAAATCTGTCAGATAATGCACATCCAAGAAAACTGTCTTGTCCTTGAAAGATCAGTCTGCCTGGATCAGAGGTAAAGCTTATGGAGGAGGGGAACCTGAACTGAAGTGGGATCCCCAAGATGCATTATTTCCAATCTGTGAGCCCTGTTACCTAAAATTTAAAAACATTTCAGAGGGAGGAGAAAAAGAGGAAAGAATTTTACACGTTCACCTTCCATAAGATTAAAGTGAAGTTTTACACCATACTCTTCCAGATACCTACTGTCTCCAGAACCTTGATGTTTAATTTTACCCTTTTACTGTTTCTTCCCCGCCCCCCCACCAGCTATAGGGTTTGCAGGAGAGTAATTCTGTCTTTGACTCTGCAAGAAAACTTGCTAACAGAACAACCCTAAGTACAGCTCTGAAGATACTGGAACAATAGTGCACAATATGCTTTTTACACATCTTGTTGCATATTAGCAAGTACTCAACTTATTACAAGGACATTTGAATGCTTTATATTGTTGAAGAATTTATTGGTCCAATACTCAACATATTTATGTGAATATCTATGCATATTTATCTATGTATTCAGCTCATTCTGACCATTTTAACTAGTAAACTTGACACTGGTGATAAATGATTATAAAGCCTACCTTCTCCACATATGCTTTCTTCTCCATCAAGAGAGTTACTGTCCTTTCATAGGCACTGTTAATAAGATTTCGCACTTCTTCATCAATCAGTCTTGCAGTTGCCTCGCTGTAAGGTTTCTCCAATACTATGTCCCCTTGACGCGGGAGATCAAAGGAAATCTGCCCTACCTTTTCATTCATGCCAAACTGAACGATCTGAAAGATGAATAGTGCAATAAGTGGAAGACTTAGATTAGTGTAGTACGGGAAAATAGAGCATCAAGCAAAAGTAACCTATTTATAAATTGAATTAAAATATATAATTTATTAGAATGAGAAAATAGCATTTTTTCTACAAAGAACACATAACACTAGAGTTAATTCCCTCTTTTGTAAATCACTAACAGATTCCTTCAAGTAGGAGATTCATAGTCATCTATCTTTGACATATTTCGAAAAGATCTGTAAACAGCCAAGATGCATTTAAATGCTCACTATGTTTGAATGTTTCTGAGTTACAAAAGTATCATTGTATGTAGTATTGTAGCCATGTTGGTCCCCGGATATTAGAGAGACAAGGTGATATGAATGAGGTGATATCTTTTATTGGACCAACTTCTGATTGTGAGAGAGAACCTTTTAAGCTACACACAGCTATTCTTCAGGTCTATGTAGCTCGAAAGATTGTCTCTCTCACCAACAGAAGTTGGTCCAATAAAAGATATTACCTCACCCGTGTCTCATAAAGTATGGTAATTCTGTTCTTTTCGAAAGTTTTCCACGAAAGTATTTAAAAATTTTAAACAGCACGTAAATGACACGTATTGGGTTGAGTCAGGAGTACAATTGAAATTCAGTTCAAGACACTCAGAAGGTAAAAGTATCACCATCCTGTAAATGTACCCTGGAATAGTAGGAAATATCTTCCTGACCCCATATGCTGATTAACTAATTTCCGCACATACCTCAGTGCACATAACAAAATTTATTCCGTACATGGATGGAAAAAATTAGAGGGAACATTGCTAATGACCTCACTCAGCTGTGTCTTTACATTAATAATACCACAATCACCATTGAGAAGTCTTGTTTATTATATTAAACACTGGAATATTAGCCTTCTTTTCATCCTTAGATTTACAGCATGTGGTGCATTAAACACATGGTTTCCAGCTATTAACTACATACCCATGGATTCAGTCTAGTTGAGCAATCAGGACTCTAATGTATATAACTACGAGAACGTGTCCACAAATCCAAACTTGTAAACTAAAATATTAAAGCCATTTTCTAAGTGCAAAATTTCTTTGCACATTTGAGTGTAGCTATGTCACATACACATTCCTGCAGAGCAATCAGCTTTGACTTGATCTCTAGGCCATTGAATAATGTATATGATGCAATGATCACAGCCCAGCCATGGATTATTGCTATGGGCAAAAACAGAATACAGATGCTTAAGACAAAGTGCCAATATCATGCAACAAATGCATACCACATGACAATATTGCCTTGCACAATAAAATATGGTCTAAATTCTGCAATTCAAAAACCTGGCCAGCAAGCCAAAGTGTGCTCTTCTTCAAAGTTATTTTGTATGAAACAATTTAGTGGGAAACATAGAAAATAAAATTTCCTACTTGAAGTACAAACCTGAGCATATGCACTCTGAGTCACCTTCTTCAAGTCATCTTGGGCTCCTGTTGTAATTTTTCCGAAAAAGATTTGTTCTGACACGCGTCCTCCCAGCGTCATGCACATTCTGTCAAGTAACTGCTCTTTGGTGTAAAGGTATTGTTCCCTGGGTAAATACTGGGCATAACCCAATCCTCTGCCACGTGGGATAATAGATACCTTGGTTTAAGGAAAAAAAAGACAGTTACTTACCTTTTCCGTAACTGGTGTTCTTTGAGATGTGTTGCTCTTGCCCATTCCATATTAGGTGTGTGTGCTTGCCACATGCACCGGTGCGGGAAGTTTTTCCCTTTGCAGTATCCACAGGGGACCGGCTCTGGCGCCTTCTGGAGTGGCACCCGCATAGCGCCGTATAAGGGGTGCCACCGGCTCTCTCCACCCTCAGTTCCTTCTTGCCGGAAACTCAGAGCGGGGAAGGAGGGCGGGTTGTGGATGGACACAAGCAACACATCTCGACGAACACCAGTTCCGGCACAGTTCCGGCACTGGTGCATGTGGCGAGCACACAAACCTAATATGGAATGGACATGAGCAAGCACTTGAAGAAAACCACAGCCTTCAGATTTAATGGTAAGCTTAGAATTTGTGACAGGGTAAGACTTTAGACATACCCCTTTCAAACTATGAAACAGACTTATGATGAGGATGATCCTAACCAGGGATATCAACAGCTAAGGGAAGTATCTGGAAAATACTTATACCTGGGATACAGCTATAACGTGTCCTAATATTTTATTCAGCCAATGAAGATTCAAAGATACTATCACCAAAGCAAATTTACTTGATTTAAGTAAGGAACTTTAAGCCCTTTTAGTATTAAGTGTCCTGTGACAGGGTGTACAGAACTCGACATTCTTTTTCCATTTATTGGCAAGGAGGGTGTCCATGTTTAATAGTTTAACTCAGGGGTCGGCAACATTCGGCATGCGGCTCGCCAGGGTAAGCCCCCTGACGGGCCGGGCCAGTTTTATTTACCTGCTGACACAGCAGATTCGGCCGATCGCGGCCCCCCCGGCCGCGGTTCGCCGTCCCGGGCCAATGGGGGCA